TTACTCCTTTCTTCCTTGACTGAAATATCCAGCTAGACCAGCCTCATCAACAATAATTCCCATGCTTCCTTACTGAAAGGGAATGTGCGACAGCCATTTGCAGCATAAACTGTGAGAAGGGAAACCCCAGATCAAGTGGAAAATAATTATAGGAGCGTCTAATCTTGATTTTTCAGCTTTCTGTGCAGAGGAGTGACTACTTCACACATTGCAAAGATGCCTCTTGTGGATCATGCACTCAGCCGGCAGCCAACTTTTAGGTTCATCGTGAGTTTCCTGCATTCCATTGTGCTGGATTACACACAATTTCAAGAAGCAAAAGTTCAAGAGACTTTTTAAGATAAGACTTTGCTTGTTTTTAAAACAGAGGATTAACCTTGCGGGAAACAAAGGACAATGACTTTAATTCCTTTGCCCTTAAAGTGATTCAGGCAAAATTTGGAAAAGATTTAAGGATGGATTTGCATAACCTGTACTACGCCAAAGGGTGGTATGGGGTGCTAGGGGAGGGGTAGTGCCTCTGGTGGGGTACACGTCATGCTTCTTCTGGGGTAGTTTGTCCTCTTTTGGTCCCCACCCTGCACTCAGCTCTCACCTGTGGCTCCTAGAAGCAGTCAGCATGCAACAGCAGCCCCAGGAAATGGTTTCAACTGGCCAACTAACCAGGTGAGGATACCCGATTGGCCTCAAACCCTTGGTGAGTTAGGGATTTCCCTTGCATGTGAAGACAGGCTCTGGCAGACTGAGTGAACAAGACCAAGAGCGGTCCAATGGTCAAGAAGGTGGTATCTTCATGCGCTATAGAGGAAAGTGAGGTACAGATGGGGGTTGTCAACCTAGGAAGGTAGCCCATCTAAGAGAAGGAAAACTCTGATCCTAAACCTCCGCTTCCTTGTGGGACATCTTCGGGAGAAGAAAAGGCTAAGGAGTAAACCTTACACAATCAGGAGCAGAGTCCCTAAGATGGTTGGATGGCGCCTTGTACACATCCTTCTAGCAATTCCTGCAGCCAAGCTGGTGCCAAAAGTATTGCTCTGCTTTCCTTTGTACCACATCAGCAAGCCCAGGACCTCTATGCACACTGCCCATGTTTGTGTCCTGGGAAGGTCACTTCAGTGCTGCTAACACATTGGTTTGACTTCACCCCTGGAGGCACACTCCATTGTCTCTTGAGACAGGCAGATGCCAACAACTACACCAAAGTCTGTATCCCCCACCCTACGTGGCATAGATGTATTGCGCTCCTTCCTCCCATACACCTGAAAGGATTGCTTGAGATAGGATACACATATGATATACTGTGCTGAAAAATGCTACACATGTACAACCCAAATGCAATCCCAAAATCCAAAAGCTGTAAACGTAGCAAAACAACCTGAAGCAACTGAAGCGCAACTACAGCTGTTATTGACAGTTGCTTACCACCCACTTGAATCTGGTTATAAACTTAGCTGCATGATTGATTGATTTTGCTTGTATGAAATTCCTTTTATGATGTCTCTTTCCTAAGGTGCATTAGATGGTTTGTTCATCACTTCATAACCTGGGACAGAGTGGTATGAAATGTGCAGGCACCTCAAGGGCTGGAGAGAGGCCACAGAATCCATGATTCTGTGGAATTTCCATTTTTGGACACAGAGCGCACCACTTCATAACCAGAGGAACACTTGTGGAGAAGTCCTATAGCTTCCATGCCCTGCTTGCAGGCTTCCTAAAGCAGGGGTTGGGAGTTTGTGGCCTTCCAGATGTTGCTGGACTCCTATTCCCATCAGCCCCAGATGTACCCCCTGTGGAAGGACGTGTGTATCCAGACTTGGTCTCCACAGTCACGGACTCATTGTTAAAACCTTGTTTATGGAAGACGGTCTTACTAGGCTACGAGTGATCGCCAAAGATAAGATAAGAAGATATCCAACATCTGGAGGGCCACAGGTTTCTCACCCCTGCCTTAGAGACATATGTTTGGTCATGGTGGGATGCAAGATTGAGGACCACTTCACACATCAGCTTATATTGGCTCAGTTGCATCCATCTTTTATCAAAGCTGGACTTCCCAGACTGCTCTTCAGGGTCTATTGCGTATCTAATGTGTGCTGTAAAAGCTGTGAGTAATGTCAACAGCTGATAATGGTGTGTTTCAATGACTACTGGAGCAAGATTCATGCTTCATCTAGTGTCGACTCTCTCAAGAGCTATTCTTGTTAGAGAAGGATATTTCCACTAGGGGCTAGTAACTGAAGCCAAAGCTCCAAAAATATGAACTGAAAATGTATGGATGGCCAAATAAAGATAACTTCTTAGGAGCTTGGGGAGCTACCTTACTGGGGGCCTTTCTACATTTACCTCTATGGTGGAACAGTTGCTGTGTGATCAGATTCTTTCAAGAGTGAGTTTGTAGCTGATTGTCTGCCCCTTTGGTCATACGCTGCTGCTATTAGAGTGAATGTGGGGTTTTTCTTTCCACACTAATGGAGGGTTTTGCCTGAATTGAGGGAAGTTCCACGGTTGTCGTCGCAACTCTTACATACCCTTATATTCATCCAGTCAGTAAATATTGGAAGTTATGAGCATGAGCAGGGGGGAATAGACCTTTCATGGCTTAAAACAAATTTATGCCTAGTATTCCAGGATTCTAATCTTGTGGGAGTATGGGAGATTAGAAGAGGAACTACATGTCTTTGGTGAACCTGGTTATTGTGATGAAATGTTGTTTTCTGCAGCTTACAATTGCTGTCACAAACAGTGCTTGGATTCAGTAGCATCATCTTCATAGGCCTTGCCTTTCCTCTGAACAGAGCTCACAAACTGACAGCTTGCACTGGTCAGATTGAAGTGGTGTAAAACAGATGTCTTCCAAGCCATACCCACCAACCCCCTCAACCCAGAAACCAGGATGGTGCTTGTTTACATACTACACAAATGAAGATGTTGGGGATCCATTACAGATCTTTCAGAAAAGCCAGGGCTTTTTTGTGGTAGAAAAGAAATGTGTGTTTGTGAGTTCATTATTCTGGAAGACTCGGCTGAATAATGCTGACACCATGTGCCAGCATGGCAAAATACCCACAAACTTCTCCCCCAGCAATTATATCTATAATTGGTAAGTTTAGAAATTCCCCAAATCAGACAATTTGTCCATCCAGCTCAGCATCATTCAGACTGACTGGCTGTGGCTCTCCAGGGTTTTCCCCACTGTCAATGTAGGTTGCTAATAAACTGGAAGGGTATGTATGCACTTGAAGAATCGAGAAACAATAAGAAGAAAGGTTGGGGGGGAGGATTATTTAGATTTCTGATTTGTGAACAACTTCCATTTTTGGAGGTTCATAATTTAGGCTGGCTTTCTTACATTAGGCTAGTTTTCCACAGCACTTTTGGTGGAGCAGCTGTGTAAAATGCCCACTAGATGGCAACCTACTCCCAAAACATTTTCCTTCTACAAATCTCAAAGGTTTTTAAGGAAAGGGGGGGGGGGGACCCAGCAGAATACTATCAGTTGCTTGAGGAGAAAAGGCCATAACCTAAGCAATTTCCCTTGCCTCCAAGCCCATTCACCCAACTATAACATAAAAAAATAAAATCCGTATTATTTCTGATTTCACTAATATATCCCCTGGCAGGTGGGAAAGAAGATACGAGGAACTGCATTTCAAAGCCATACAGCAGAGGCAAGAAAAGGGTGGCGATTTTTCATTCATCCAAGAAGATAATTGTAAAAATGGACCGATTACTAAAATCCCGCATATAAACTCAAAAGTAGCAAGCGCCAACAAGGACTGTGAGAATGGTCCCTAAGGCAGGCAGGCAGGCAGGCAGGCAGGCAGGCAGGCACGCACACACACACACACACACACACACACACACACACACACAAAATTTTTTTTTGGGGGGGGGAGGATGAATAGAAACTTCCACTCTATCAACATGCATTCGCAGACTATTAAAGCTAGTCAAATGACTTATAGAGGAATCCTATACAGGTCTACTCAGAAGTAAGTCCCATTGAATTAAACAGGGCTTCCTCCTAGGTAAATTAGTACAGGGAATGCAGCCTGAAGTTTGTCAATATAATTGTAAATGAATGATTTTGAGAAAGCGCTTTAAAGGGTGGGGCTCAGATTGACATTTGATAGTGAATGGCTCATCTCCATGAGGGATTATATTTATCCTGCCCCACATAACTGAGTTATGAGACTCTTGCCTCTGTGAAAGCAATGGGGTGGTGAGGGGGGGGGGTGACAGGAGCAAAATGTAGCCATTGTGATAACTGGTCTGACTGAAAAAACACATTTTTTGGGGGGGGGGGGATAAGCGATCTTGCAAAGCCTCTTTCCTATTTGCCTTTCATAAGCAATAACTTCATTATCCAGAGCTTGGGGAAACCACCACTGTCATCCGTGCAAGATTGCACACTGCGAAGGCCATGCCATCTGACAACACACAGAGGCAGGAAGGTTATTGTCCCACCAGAGTCCCCTTAAGGTCTAGACAAAGGACCGGACTGTGGAGCAGTCAGTTGGCTCACTGGGTACTGTTTTCCTAATTCACCAGTGAGCCTCTGACACCTGGCAACTGGGATCCAGTTCTAGAAGGGTCCTAAAACCTCCCTCCTGAGTCCACACCCCTTTGGCAAAGCATGCTCAGCTTTTGCGCTGTATATACCTAGGGGGAAGGTTATTGTGAAGTGTCCCTGGGCAATGTTACTCATGTGTGAATGGAAGGATCTTGTTTGCATTCATTACAAACCCATTAAAAGCTGGCTGGCTGAGACCTGGGCAGGACTGGTCTGAAGGTTGCAGCTGACACTTGTCCCCTTGCTAGCTCTCTGTACCATCTCCTTGCAGTGCACCAGAGTGAGGAGGGCTGGTGTGGGTCAGGGACAGGTGAAGGGCTGCCCAGCCTTTCTGGACTCACCACCCACACCTCTCCAACGCAAACTCTTTCCATGAACTAGCCTGCCCAGAAATAACCTCGATTTCAATCTCTCTTCCTGGATCCCAATGGCTGAAGAGAAAACTTTTCGCCATGGGCTCATCGTCCTGGGAGTTTTTCTGGTGATGATCGGAATGTTCATCATGAGTGTGGAGAAGCCCCAGATCTACATCACCTTTTGTACCTTAGGGGCCTTGGTCATTGCTGCGGGGATCATTTGGAGCATGTGCCAGTGCTACCCGAAGGTAGGAAACAGTCTACTTTTCCCTTTTTCTAAAGAATGTGCCTTCAACAGTTGCATTTGGGCTGTATCCAACTCAGACTTCCCAAGAATATATTTGGGTTCTTGGAAACGGCGGAATTATATGTTTCCTACTCTTTATTGAGCTTGTTAGCCTTTTAAGAAGTAGAAACTTTAAAATATTTTACTTGCAAAGCAATCAATTTTTTGGGTATCTGCTCGATTAATAAATTACTTTACACATTGGTTTCCTTACTGTTGCCACAAAAATAATGATGCCGTCGCAGAATAGGTATTAGAATGGTGCCACAATATAATGCAGTGGGAACTGTAGAAAGAGTAAGTTAGGTAATGGTGAATCTAAGGCTGTTCCCTGTTGGAGTTGCAGCTTGAATCTTCTTTCTGAAAATCTAGGATTTGATTGAAGACACAGTTTGGAATGTAAAAATAAAAATAAAATGCCTTTCTTCTAGGGAACCCCTACATCTCCTTGGAGATAGGTGAGAAAGAATCACTTTGCCCAGGGTGGGCTGCCTCATGAGCTTTATCTGAGATCCAAATGATACATCACATTTTCTTAATTAAATTCAGTGTTTGTGCATGTGTTTGTATGTAGCTGCTCATTTGATGGGAGGAAATAACTCCCTTGTTCCAAGGAGTTATCTTCCCTTACTTCCCCGCTTTCCCTCCCCAGATCAGAGTTGTTTCTGTTGATGTGGAGTCTGAGAAGTTTCTTGCAAAGAACACTGCTGCTTCATCTGTTCAAAATGAGATTCCCGAGAAGAACAGGTATGTTTGCGAAAACCAAGCCTGTAAGCTTCAACTCAACAGTCTGCAATCTATTTTTTAATCAGAATACAGTACTCGCCTGTGCATATTGCAAACTGTGTTCCGCAGAGGGACAAGGTCAACGTCTGGAAATGCTGGCACAGGGCAGTAAATTGCACAATTTAAGTGTATTTTTAAGCAGGAGAAAAGTGGTGTCCTTAGGGAAAATATAAAGCTCCCCAGAGGTATGTGTGTTTGTGTGTAAAGCATGGAACAGCTTTGGAGACCTATGTGTAGGAAAGCAAAAGGCAGCAGCGTTTACAGCACAATCCTATGCTTGTCTGCTTGGAAATAGATCTCATTGAGTTCAATGTGGCTTACTCTCAGATGTGTGTATAGGATTGCAACCTCCATCTCATTTCAGTGTCTAGCCCTGCTATATATAATCCAGTCCAGAAAAAGAATGTGGGCCTCCTTGGGATTCATTCTGCACTGGCCATAAGAACAGTAGCTCCTTTGACCTTGTCTCTCTGGGTTGTGCAGAAGCTATAATTGGTCAATCAAGATAAAATTATGGCAGCTTAAAGGAGCTTCTTTGCCATCTTCCACCTCATATCCAAGCTTCTTCAGAACAGTGCCTCCCTCACCCTAGAGATGGATAAATCCTGATGAAATGGTATTTGTAGGAGGTGATCTCCTGCAGAGTGCAGTGACAGGTAGGGTGGATCTACACACAGGGGAAAATCACTATAAATAAGCCAGAAATTAGATCTGTTATAATAAAAGAAAGAAAAAACCCTATGGAAAATCGCATATAAAAAATTTCTGCTCTCTGGCACCATCTGGTGTTGCATGCTTATAGCACATTCAAATAGTTGTTGCTTTACTAATGTAGCTGAGTCCCAGGCGTGAGATAATCTTTGGCTATCCTGGTCCCAAGCTGTATAGAGCTTTGTACCAAGTTCATTGGTCACTTCTTCCCTTCCTCTCCACATTGACTAAGGTCAAGAGCACAGCCTGCTGCCAGGAGGCCTATTTTATGTGCTTCATAAGCAACTGTTTTTCTGATTGAAAACCTGGACCCGGCACCAGCCTACTGTGAATTAGCCCAGCCTCAAAGGCATCCATGGGCCATTCCCTTCCTGGCTATATGTCATTTACTTGCTCAGATCTCCCTTCCCACCACACTCCATCCATCAACTTCCCTTAAACAGGCTTCTTAACAGCGCAAGACAATTTCCCATAATACTCCAATTGCCAACAACAGAAAGGAAAGTGAAACTAAAGTAGCTGAAGGCAGCATCGCCCTGGCATACAGACTGATGGATTTTGTATGTCCCTTTCTCTTAGTCAGCCAGGAGGGAATGGAGGACAGGTAAGAAAAGCAGGTCTCTTGACAGCTCAAATCCAGATAACGAACAACTGCAACATGCTTAAGAGGAAGCAAACATGACTAGAGAAATGCTAGGTCCTCTGAAGCTGCTCAAATTTCTAAATCAGTAAATAATCAGATTCCTGTCCCCTGTTAATAACAGATGTAACAAATCTAGTGAAGTAATATACCACTTTCTCATGTTGTTTGCTCAGTTCCCAGACACCTTACACCAGCCAGAAAGAAGCTGAAGTCTATGAGAAAAGCCTGCCGTCTTACGAACAGATCCAGATGAAAGTGGCAGGTGCAGAATCTGTGGGTGTTCTGTCTGCCCCAGTCCCACCGGTCAGGGCAGAAGGATGTACCCAGCCTGTTGTACAGGCCAAGGCAGAGGTCCACAGGGATTCAGAAAGCGATGGAGACTCCTGCAAGGACCCATTGTCCCAGAAGGACTCTACAAGGTTGTACTGGTGAGTAGCTCATGCGGTGCGTTCAGGGGCTGGTTTGAATAGAACACTACCCTGAACCTTATGATCACCTTATGGTGATTTCTGTTAGGCACTCTGGATAGATAAAATTTTGCAAAGGTGGGATGGTTGTCAAATTATATAAATATTAGTTGGTTGTATGCATTTGCATTGCTTGATTAAACAAAATGAATAAATGAACATCTGCATAAAACAATGTTACTAATGCAGGTGTCAGAACCGACACAATCTTTGAAAATATATAATATTCTATGTTAGAAATTATATCCTTTTCTATGTGTGAGATATGGCACAGTGATATATATCTATATATTTACTACACAAACACACACACACACACACACACACACACACGAGTGTGTATATATATAGAGAGAGAGAGAGAGAGAGGAGGAGGAGAGAGAGAGAGGGCCACTGATTGTTTATCTGGGAGCTCCTTTCGAACTGAACAAAACTGAACAGGGGTCGGCCACTGTGACAAGAGGATGTTGGACTAAATGGACCACTGGCCTGATCCAGAGCAAGGCTCTTCTTACGTTTTTATGTTCTTTAATTGATTAATCTAACTGATTGGCAACATTAGTTGATTAATCTGTTAGATTAATCAGCTAATGTTACCATCCCCATAGAAGGTGGAGCTAAATATAAGATGCATGCTAGCTCTGTATCAATGAAAAGCCAACACAGTCTGTACTGCCCAGTGTTGTTCCTTCTAGTTATAGCAGGCATCACAAGCCCAATACCTTCCAGGTGGAGTGCAACTCCTGTTAACTCAGACCATTGGGAATGCTGGCCGGGGATGATGGGAGTTGGGTCCAAGAACATCTGGAGGGGACTACATTGGTGACTCTTGAGTTCAAGATCAAAACAATGCTGTTGGGCTGGCATGGTCAATAATATTTAATTTACCCTTAGAAACCAAGTTAAATAAACCAACAACAGCTGGTCATTCCAGAACCAGGGATGTTCCGGTGAAAAGCACAGCATCTGCCCAGCTTGATTTACTATAAACGTCCTAGTAGAAACACAAAACAGCTGAACAATCAGCCTTGGAAGCTATGTCCTTCAATGAACCTTCTCTTTAAATTCTAGTGAGTCGGAAAAGTTTCCTAACCAGGCGCCACTGGCTTCTTTCCAAGAGGAAGCTGATGCCTCTTCCGTGGAATCTGCAGCCAACAGTCCGTTTCTACAGAGGTGGGAAAATGTCTCGAAGCCTATGTCTCCAACAGAAAGCCAGCTCAGATTCAAGCTTCCTTCCTATGAAGATTTTGCCCTGATCGATTCCCTGACGGCGGAAGGTCAAGGTCAAAACAATGAAAGGATAACGGCACCTAACCAAAGCCCTTGCCCTATTCCTGCCCCCAGAGGAGATGGGGCATTGGCTACAGTAGGGCCTGAACGACTGGAACACAGAGCTATGCATAATGTAGAAGAGGATGACATGTACTATGGAATAAAAGAGGGAGCAGGAGACGTCCCCTCATCGGTTGGTGCTGTCTCTGAACCAAAGGACTAAGCATTAAAAATTAGGAATGAGCCCGGGAACATTCTCATGGGAGTCCAAATCCAAAGAGATGAAAGGTTGGGTGGGGGTGGGGAGTGGCTCAGACAATAAAAGGGATGCCCAAGCCATGATAGATTGGTCCTGCTCTCTGGGGATTTGGAGGGAGTGATGGAGAATAAAGGTTAGGACCAAAGCAGAAGAACAAAAGTATGGCTGTCTGTTGAAGTGTCTTAAGCTGTCCCTCCACTTATGCTCAACCTGTATATTTGTAAATAAAGTGACATATCACCAAATCCCATAAGCCCCCTGTGGTTTTCTTCCAAAGGAAATCAAACCTGGGTAGCACTGAACCCCTAAAAGTTCTCACCGGCCAGAGAGATGATTCAGAAAAACACTATAAAGGGGAAACATGTATATGAGAATGGCACCCCTGCTGAGAACACATATATCGTCCAAAGGAGCAGAGTCATGACCTTTCCCTGGGAGTGTGGATGGAGGATCCATGACTCACCTGAACATCATCTTTTGCCGCTTCTTTGCCATTTATGAAATGATACTCTATTGGGATGCGGGTGGCACTGTGGTCTAAACCACTGAGCCTCTTGGGTTTGCCGATCAGGTCAGCAGTTCAAATCCCTGTTATGGAGTGAGCTCCCGTTGCTCTGTCCTAGCTCCTGCCAACCTAGCAGTTTGAAAGCACACCAGTGCAAGTAGATAAATAGGTACTGCTGCGGCAGGAAGGTAAACGCCTTTTCCGTGTGCTCTGGTTTCCGTCACGGTGTTCTGTTGTGCCACGTGAAAGCTGTCTGTGGACAGAGATGACCCTGAAAGCGAGATGAGCGCTGCAACCCCATAGTCGCTTTTGACTGGACTTAACCGTCCGGGGGTCCTTTACCTTTACCTTTTACCTACTAAGGCTGCCATTTTCTAAATGTACAAAACTGGAAGCAAGTCCTACCAAATTTAGCAAGGTATGCTTTTGAGTGGAAATGCACAGAATTACACCGTAAATGTGTTTCTAGTCTTTTAGAATCCTTTAGCATTCTTGCCCCATCATCCACAGATACCTGACTGTATATTGGTGTGATTGTACTTCATGTCCATGGACTGCTTTGCTGAGGACATGTTCGATGGTGGTGGTTCCTGGGGATTGGATGATATATCAAACAGTGACACTTTTAACATGAAAAAGAACTGGTCAGAGGTTTAAGAAGTGCTTGCGTGTGGGTGCCAAAGCAGCTCAGGGCTCACGCTTCATTAATTGGCCTGATCGCTATGGAGCGGCTGATGTGCAGGAGCAGCAGCAGCCAGACGGAAGGCGGATCGTGTGCCCTCAGCACCTTTGCTTCTGAGGTCCCGCTTTCTGCTCCGATTCATGCCTTTTGGCCATTGGAGGTCTGCTTGCTGCAGTGGAAAATCCGGAGTGATTTATGTTGCTTTCGGAAGCCTGCCAACTGCTCAGCTTGTCAGATTGCTTCTTCCGCATGGGGAGGGAGCCAAGCTCCCAGGCAGCTGTGGGACAGCAGCTCCATGAAACTGACAGCGCGAGGCAACAAAGGGGTTGGCGTTGGCTCCGTCTTAACTAGGCTATCTGAGTATAAAGCCAGTAGGGCCTGTTTTAGAAGTTGCGCTCATGCCTGTTCCTTGGGGGCAGAAAGACACCATTTGGAATATGGCATCGAGTTCAACAGGACTTACTGCCAAACAGCTTGTGCTTAGCATCACAGCTTTGGGAACCACACAAAATATTTTATTCTGAATGGATTAATGAATCTTAATAATAACCCCTGCACCCTAAGATAGCGGCATACCCTCCCACATTTCTCTGGTGAAAATAGGGACGCCCTATTCAACAACAACAACAATAATAATAATACCCTGCCCATCTGGGCAGCTTCCAACAAATATAAAAACATAATAAAACATTAAACATTAAAAGCCTTCAGATATCTTCTAAAAATTGTAGAGTTACTTATCTCCTTGGCTTGGGGGTCACATAACTCCATACCCTCCAACATTTCCCAAGTGAAAATAGGGATGTCCTAAGGAAATGTGGGACATTCTGGAATCAAATCAGAAGCTGTGATGGCTTCTGCAAATCTGAGACTATCCCTAGAAAAAAGAGGCACTTAGAGGGTCTGTAGAAGTTTATAGGACCATATACACTGCAAGCACTGCAGAGAAACCACAACCATTAGGAAAACGTATTTTCTTCAGGAACTGAAGGGTGCTGCAAATCTCAGGAGTCTTCATGCATGTCTTGGCTTCTCAAATAAGCTTTCAAGTGACCTGGAAGCTGAGTATTTTTAATGTTTCAATTCCGCAATGGAACAAGACGCTACTTGTTTGTAAGTAGACTGCAGTCAAATGCTCCTGGTAACTAACAGCAGAAGAGTTTAAATATCCCATCAGAAGCTGGTTTAAGACATGACCTGGAAGAGGTTGGTTGTCTCGAGCCTCAATTTTTACGAAACACTTGACAATGCCAGAAGCAGTCTCGCGTTGCGACCCCCTGGCTCTGTAACTTGCTCCATTTCCCATTTGTGCTTCTGATACATCACTTCCCCACCCCTGACAGCTGCAGGAAATAACGTGAACTGAAGACAGATTGTGAAAATGATGGCGTAATGATGTCAGAAGTGACCTCAATGGCTGTGGGTGGTTTTGTTGCTCGTTCCCTTCTGTCCCGCCAGCTTTAGTACTTTGCTAAAGCATTGTGTACTTGGCATAAGCTGCCCTGACAGTGGTAATCCTACTCGTGTACTGTGTCAACAGCCATTTAAAATGTGTTGTTTGCACTAAATAGAAAAGCCCAGTTCGTGACCCTGAGGTGTCCTTCGTAGCTTCACTCGACCTTCGTAGAGGCTGCAGCCCCAGATCCAGTTACTAAGGTACATCCCGTATTCATGAATATTCCATGTGTCCTCGAGTAGATACTTGGAACCATCTTGTTCTGTTCTGCGGGTTCCCCTTCGCTTCTTTTTTTCTATTCCCACAAGTCTTGTGAGCGGTGACCCCACCACCAACATCCCTGCCAACCTCCTTGACTGGGACAGTTATTTATGACTCTTCCATCTTGGCTCTCGTGGCTATTTTGTGCCCACGCGTTGTGTCAATATGTGTTGTGTGTGCCGCATGTTGTGTGCCTATATGTATCCCATATCAGCTCTGACTACACCCACTTTCATTTTCACCACACCCACTATTCCATTTCCTTGTTCCTCTGGCATGTGGCCCCCCAGAAGGCTGGATTTGAAGGAAGGTGGCACCTGGCCTGAAAAAATGTTCCCCACTCCTGGCTTAGCCCATCAAAATAGCTTTTGAGGGGTGTCAAACGGAACCATTCTCTTCTGGAGCACTGTCAGGCTGGATAGAACAAAACGGAAAACACCCTCTTGCAATTTCCAGCAAGAACTCTTGATCTGTGTATTTTCCTAGCCTTGCTGGGTGGGAGAAAGAAGTCTGCAGTAGGCATGGATTTTTTAAGGGGGTAGAGAGATTGGGGGCTTTGCAAGGTGCAATGCCACCTTCTCATCAGCTTGCCAAAATAGATAGTATGGTCCAGTTTCATAGTGCTGCCCTTTTCCGTCTTCCTTGTGCCCTGGTTCCCTCTCATATTCCATTGCATGCATCTCTTTCAAAGCTAGACTATAAATTTAGCAGGTATCTTTGTACTTTGCTCATTGTCTACCACAAGAAAGCACGCCGCCTTCCCTGCAGATGTTTGGCCCTCTGATCACGTACACAGAAATAAGCAGCCAAAGGTGAAAACAATGTCGGGGAGTTGAGGAGGATTGTTTATACAATTATAAGAAACACTTGTTGGGTGTCACAGCAAGAAAACAAAAGAAAAGAAGAAAAGCACATGTTTCCTAAACATTGTTTTCAGAAGTGAGAGCAGCACACAAAAGAAAAATGGACCCCCCTCCTTGTTTAGACCTGACTCTTGTCCCTGCTCCCAGCTCCCTGACTCCCCAAGGCAGGCCTTCCAAGTCCTGAGAGGTTTGCTTGCTCTCACCTCACTCTAGGACGTGATGTGCTGGCCAAGCTAGATGGCGTTTGCTGCTGTTGGGTAGCTGAATTATGCTAAACAAACAGCAAAGGCAGGACTGTGGGATTGGGATCACAGCACGGTTGTAGGGTTTAAAAAACTGCCTGCCCCTGTCGCTGTTCAATTTGGTATAACCTGCCCCCTTTCACACACATGGAGAAATTTGCTCCAGTTCACTGTTAAAGGTGAACTTGAAAGCTTTGCATTTTCCAAAACAATATGCAAACTGAAACACTGCTCTCCTTTGAAATGTGAGCTTCTCCGCAGTTTGCAATGCAACGCTCCAGGCAATTAATGTGTACAAAAATGCATATACTATGGTAAGGCGTGCATATAAATGTGTATATAAGGGAAAGTAACATAAGAATGTGCATTATTTTAGGGGAAATTGCTTTGCAAAAATGCATACATTAGGCAACATTGCACATAAAAACGTGCAGGAGAAATTTCCAGAGAACTGCTGACAATTTAAAAATAAATACATCACAAGATGACGTAGCAATGTGGAGAACTGAATTTAAGATTGGAAAAATGAGAAACAGAGAGAAACTGAAAAGGGCATATTCACTCCTGCAGAAGGGTGACTGAGCACTTTCATTCACGTTAGTGACCTAAGCCTAATTCTTCTGGTATGTGCCTGGATCCCTCCTACAAAATACTGACAGTCTGGGGCCCCCTAAGATGCCAACAGCCACTATTTTCATCACAGAGACATAAAACCACCAGTGTTATTGCAGTGCATTCATCCCAACAGCCACAGTGGTGTTGCAGCCATTGTTTACATCAACCTGTAAAAAAGTATTTTCATTGGATTCCTTGTCTTAACAATTAAGGTACAACTAATCTGTGCTAAGTGAACATGGACTCTGGCTTAAGAATGCAAGAAGTGCCTTGCCAAGTCAGTTGTGTCTCCATCTAGTCCTTAATTCTTTGCAAAATCACAGTGTCAAGCCAGTGTGAG